CTCCCTTACACCACCCCGGCTCCCTGTGCCCTCCCAGGCTCCCCCTGTGCCCCCTTCAACTTCCCTCCTCCTTCCTTTGCCCCCCCAGACCTCCCCATGCTCCCCTGTGCTCCCCTCCACTCCCGTGCCCTCCCAGATTCCCCTGTGTCCCCCTTGACTTCCCTCTCCCTCCGTGTGCTCCCCCAGCCCCTCCCATACCCCCACCCTGGCCAGGAGCCCCTCGCGGTGGGTCCGGTGCAGCAGAAGCCGAAAGGCCGCATCGAGATGTCGCTGGAGCCGGGCCACCCGTGGGCGGTCCTGCAGCCACGGCCGGCCTGGGGACAGCGACAGGGGCACTGGGGACAGGGCAGGGACAGCGAGGACAGGGCAGGGGGACAGCAACAGCGACAGGGGGACAGGGCAGGGACAGTGGGGGACACGGGGAGGGGACATGGGAGGGACACTGAGGAAGGGGGTGGGAACACGGGGAGGCAACACAGGGAGAGGACATGGGAGGGGACATGGGGAGGCGACATGGGCAGCCCCTCACTGGCGTTGACGAGCACGAGGGCGCTGAAAAGGGCCACCTCGCTCTCTGAGAAGTGCAGGGCACAGAGGCTCTGGGCGAAGTCGAAGATGGACCCGATGAGCTCATGGCACCCTGGGGACAGCCCTTGTTACCTGGTGTCCCCAGGTGTGCCCTCCCACATCCCCTGCCCACATCCCCGACCCTACCCAGGGAACGGAAGAGCTCCGCGCCGGCGAACTTGCCCTCGAAGAGCACAGTGCGGTTGTCGGAGTTGAATGCTCGGCACATGCGGACCAGCACCACCTCCATGGCACCTGACACCCCCCCATGACAGCGACACGGACAGTGGCACCTCGTGTGCGGGCACCTGTTGTGCCACTTGCAGGGGCGCAGGGTTGTCACCATGGGAACGTGGGACTGTCACCTCCCCAGGGAGGCTGGAGTGTCCCTGTGGGACTGTCACCTCCCTGTGGGACTCTTGGGACTGTCACCTCCCCGTGGGACCAGAGAATCCCACCACCTGGAGACAGTGGAGCTTGGGAAAGGGGGAGAGCAGGCACTGTGGGGCAGGGGACAGCAGGGACGGGGTGTCCCTGGGGTTGGGCATAAGGAGATGGAGTAGCCCTGGGGCTGGGGGCACTGTGCCAAGGGGATGGGGTTGGGGACGGGGTGTCTGGGGCTGGGGACAACGTGCCGAAGTGTCCTCAGGTTTGGTGGCCCCGTACCCGCCTTGAGCAGCACGATCTGGTCGTTCTGGCTGAGCTCGAGGAAGCCCTGCAGGCGTTTGGCAAACTCCACCACGTCCTGGATGGCCTCGGTGACACGGCTGGCACAGCGCTGCCACATCTCCGCTGTGGGCTGTGGGACCCACTGTCATCCCATGCCCCCTGAGACACCCCCGGGCCTCCTGGGACACCCTTTAGCCCCTTGGGGCACCCCCAAGCCCCTGGGGACACCCTTGAACTCCTAGAGACACTCCCAGGCCCTCTGGGGACAGCCTCGAACCCCCGGGGACACTCCCAGTCACTCAAGGAAGACCCCTGAACCTCCCTGAGCTACGTGGAACACCCCCACGGACACCCTTGAACCCCCCGGAGACACCCCCGGGGCCTCTGGGGACACCCTTGAACTCCTGGGGACACCCCCGGGCCTCACCTTGCTCTGGTAGGCGCAGATCTCCTCCCGGGTGAAGGTGTCCCAGCGCCGCCGCTGCAGCTCCTCGGGCCGGGGCTGGCACGTGTCACGGTGCGACTTGAGAACACTCTGCGTCAGGTGCTCTGGGGGGGACACCGGGCTTGGGGACAGTGCCAGGGGACACAGGGTTTGGGGACAGCACCGGGGCCAGGGCAGGTGGCCCTCGACAGACAAGGTGCCACCGCCACCTGGCACCCATGGGTGACAGAGCCAGGTGCCACCATCATGGAGCACCTGTGGGTGACAGAGCCAGGTGCCACCCCCATGGTGGCCAGCCGGGTGCCACTCGCAGGCCCCAGGGGTGACAGTGCCGCCCCCGCACTCACCGATCTCCACCACAGATGCCATGGGGGACTCTGGGATGCTGCTGACCCCAGGGTGGGGGAACCACTCAGGGGCCCCCCTGTCCCTGTCCCCTTCCTGTGCCCGCTTTGTCCCCTCCTCCACGGGAAGGGACCCCCGGGGACAGCCCGCGGGTACAGCGGGGGACAGCAGGTGACCTGGGGCGGGTAGCGGAGCCCTCTGGGCCGCCCGTTCCCGTTCCCGCTGCTCCAGCTGCTCTTGCGCCTCGGCGTGGAGCCGCTCCCGCTGCTTCTTGGACATGCGACCGAACTTGACGGCTGCGAGGACACGGGGGACACCGCGGGTGGCACCGGGGAACACTCGTGTCGCAGACGGGTGACATATACGGAGGGCGGACAAGGGACTTTCTACCCCGAGCCGCTCCCTCGGGGCTCACCACGGGCCCCCCCGCCCTGCCGGACACCGCGGGGTGGGGCCAGGTGTCCCCAGGGCAGGGAAAGGTGTCCCCAGAGGTGTCGGCAGTGCAAGAAGAGATGTCCCCGCGGCGTCCCCGGCTGTGTCCCGGCTGTTAACGCACCGTCGCGGGACATTCCGAGGCGGAGGCACTTCTGGAGGCGGCAGTGCTGGCAGCGGTTGCGGGTGGCGCGGTCTATGGGACAGTTCTGCTGGCGGCTGCACGCGTAGCTCGGGCCGCTCTTCTGACTGCGCCGAAAAAACCCCTGCGAGGGGGAAAAGGCACTCATGGCACCCCATGGCATCCTACAGCATCCCCATGGCATCTTCCTGTCACGCCATGCCATCTGATGGCATCCCCATGTCATTCCATGGCACCCCCTTTCACCCCCCGGCATCCCCATGGCACCCCATGTCCCTCATGTCTCCCCACACATCACCCCATGTCCCCCCCACGTCCTCCCGTGTCCTCCATGTCCCCTCCCACCCTCCCAGCATCCCACATCCCCCATGTCCCCCCATAT